GGCAGGAGAATGCGAGATTAGGAAATTTTTCAGGGATTGTGCGCCAAGTGAGTGGAAGGGTATCGATCGGCGTCAATCGTTTGGGAGGAAAGGTGAATCGACGATTCGAGTATGTGACAGGAGAATCGCATTGCACCGCGCTGGTGGGCGTAGCGTGCGACGTCGCGCGCGCAAATAGGTGGTAGACGGCGACAACATGCAATTCTCAACCGAAAATAGTCATGAATGCTGCCCTAACGGGATCCATGAAGTCGGATGGTCCAATCAACAAGTTAAGACGAGTTAAGAAAATACCGCGCATTGCCACGCGGCGGAGCGGCGAATCACGAATCTTTTGCCTGTCTCACTGACGGAATGTTTTGACAGTGCACACCAAAGGAGTGTAAGACCGTCGATGTCAAGTCGCTAGTGTTTCAAGAGAATAGGAAAGCATCGAGGAGTGGTTCTCGCAAGACACCGAACGCTCGCAAAGGAGCCGATCGATATATCTATCCACCCCTTAACACGCATACTGAAACATAGATTTACCGTTTCTTTTATCCTCCTTTCGCTAAGTATGAATGTGGTCTTAAGATAAACACTGTTTCAGGTTGCTAGGTCATAACAGCCAATACTGGAAAGCATAACAGTAGATCTATCGTACCTGTACCTTCCACAAATCTTCAATGTCACAGGGTTTCGTTTCGACGGCAGTGGAAGCAGCATTTTCTCCAACATACGTGCAAACTTTCTTTTCTAAAGCTGCTTCCGTCAACTTGATTTTTGCTGATCTCTTCATCCTTGAAATGTTTGATGTAAAGTAACATATAAAATAAAAATGTTATACCATAGCAAGGATTGGGATTATTCATCGATGTTGCATTATAGCATATCAGATGATTAGTTAGCAGCTAGCTCTGTTACTATAACCCGTAGATAAATCCCAAATTGAAGTTATCCAAAAGATGCAAAGTTTTCTAACACATTCGTTTTCTAACATATGAGCAGAACCCTCGTTTGAAGTTGCTGCACAAATTCCGAGTAAATATTCATACGAAGAGCTCATCGTTACACTTGTTCAGAAAGCTTATTATATGCCATTTTGAAATTAGGCTGCGCTCATATTTTGCGGCACTGTCTACCAGCAACCATCAGAGGCCACCAGCGTTTCAAGCGTCCGTCAACGTCAGCTACTAGGAAAGTATGGATGTCGATCTGGCGTCTACCAGCGTCTACTGCGTTCCCAGCGACCAGGTGTAGAGAATACGGGGAAATAGGAGGGGCAGCAGAATGCTGCTAGACTATGGGAAGTAGCAGGGATCAGACAGCTGGACCAGGCCTCGTGAAATTGCAGCGTGTGCAACCACACCGTACTACTACACAACACCGTACTCCTGGCCCCAAAGTATGAACGTAGCCTTATTTCCAGCCTATTTATATTACCGCAGCAAATTTGGAAAACCGATTAATCTTCGAAACAAAATTTGTTCCTGGCAGTATACCTGGCCAAAAAAAACGACGAGTAGAAGCACACCAGTTTTGAGGGGAAGCTGGTGTGGCTTCCTTTCGCTTGCTTGGGCTGAACACAGACGCGTTCAGGCATTGTGTCTGCAGCGCGGATACGGGCCTTCGCTCATCTAAAGCAAACTCGAACAATCGGCTTAAGAGATAAGCTACTCATGAAAAAAATTTGGCCCTACACACCCCCGAATACAAGTTGTGGCACAACCCTTCACCAAATGAGGCCTGGATTTTGAAAAAGAGCGCTGAAGGGTGGATTTCCATCACAGGGATTCAAAAGCGGTCCAAGTAAAGGTAAGATTAAGTCAAGTTTTCCAGCAATTCCCAAAAAGAAGAATTACTTTACATTGAAGGTTTAACGGGGCCAGCTAACACGCTACAACGGAGCAAGCACGGTGGAATTACTATGACTTGGACGGAACTCTTTCTAACAGAATCATATAGGACTGCGTTCATACTTTGCTACTCGGAAGATTCCATGTTTTGGGGAATCGGCGCTTCAAGCGAAAACTTTAGTGTAGGTGACGATAGACGCCCTGAACCCCAATTCTCTCAAGACGCCAAAATCAATACCAATACATTTCTTACTGCGCGTTCTCGAAATCAAACCATTCTGACGAAAAATTAGCAGAGAAATCAACGAAAAATTAACAGAACATTTGAAAAGTACACGAGATAACTAACCTTAGAAATGTACTCCACTTATAAAGAGCACAGCTGAATAAACGGCTCAGTTGTCTCGACAGTAATACTGCCTTGCTTGTACACCACAAGGATCAACTTCTGAAAAGATACAGAAGCTACAGAAAAACGAAACAGTATACCGTGTGTACACATAGAAAGCAATGAAATAAGTTCATGATTCTCTGATCTAATTATCGATACCGAATATATAAAGTTGAAATATTAAACATCCGTGACCCCCTATGTAAAACCAAGGCGAAAGAGCTTATCAGAGCTCGCGATCGCGCGTTCCAACTGAGCGAACCGATCGCGCGATTACGAAGTCTGAAAAGCGCTTAAACAAAGAACGAAGGCATATCAGTCGAATGGAGAAATTCGTAATGAAATCAAATGTAATAAAGATGTGACATCGCAAGTTTCGTCAAAAATAATTGTTTCATATACACGGCTTTTCCCTTAATTGTTACCGAGGTAGCCATGTTGAAGCCGTTTTGACCCTATAGGAAGGACGTCATCTACAACCAAATCCTAATGCATGGCTATAACAATCCTAGCATATCGTATGCAATCCACAGCGATGGGGGTCTTGTTTGGTCATTGAGAGAAGGAAGAAGGTGGAAACCCTCTCTTCTTACCTTTGAGAAAAATGCTTTAAGTTGTTAAGCTTTCGCAAATATCCTTTTTCACCGCTGCTGTACACCCTCTCCCCTCCTTCATCAAACAGCTGTTGCGGTGAAAAAACTGAAAGAAAATAAAGACGGAATGGTTAGGGTCGTACCAAAGGAGCGAATTTCAGGGAGAGGAGTTGTACTTTTCAAAACGTCTCCCCATCGGCAAGACGTGCCCAAACTTACTTAAAACCTCACCCTTCCCCCCGAGCAGGAGTTTGACAACGTGTGAGGAAGGTTCGAAGAATTCGTACCTTGAGGGATCCCGATAAGGAGAGTAGCAAGAGCGGAGACCAAAATTTTACCGCACTCTCACATTGTTGACGAATTTTTGCTGTCCCGCCCGTATCGTGTTTCTGCGGAACTTGGGGGCTATCGTACCCGTAATCGTAATACACCACCCATCGAGGTTAGGCGCTATCCTACTATATATAATTCACTAAGTATGTCTGTCAGTGTGTGTGTGTGTGCGTCCGTCTGTCTGTCACGAAATTCATAGCACGCGTCGCAGTAAGCGTGGCACGTTGGTTCCAAGAAGTGATATAGGGTGGGACGGGAACATTATTGGCGGGTGACAGAAAGTGATAACAGTTGATAAGATCCGATAAGGGGTTTCGGAAGAGGATGATCACCAAATACGTAACGCAGGTTATAGCAACGGTGGGAGCGTGATTTGGAGAAGCGATTTAGGGTGATTATAATCCTACTCTATATAATCCGCTAAGTATGTCTGTAAGTGTGTGTGTGTGTGTGTATGTTTGTGTGTGCGTCTGTCTGTGTGTCACGAAATTCATAGCGCCGGTCCCAGTAGCAGTGAGACATTGATTTCAAGAAGTGATGTAGGCGGTGTGACGGGAACACAATTGGTGGGTGACAGGAAGTGATATCAGCTGATAAGATACGATAAGAGGCGTTAGAAGGGGGAGGTCACCATATTCATAACGCGGGTGACAGCAGCAGTGGGACGTTGGTTCCGAGCAGTGAAATAGGGGGACGAAAACATTATTGGTAGGTGACAGGATGTGATATCAGCTGATAAGATCTGATAATGGGCATTAGAAGGGAAGGACTACCAAATTCACAGTGCGGCTCACAGGAACAGTGGGTCCTTGGATCCGAGAAGTGATATAGGTGTGGGACGGGAACATCATTGGCGGGCGACAGAAAGTGATAACAGTTGATAAGATACGATAAGCAGCCTCGGAAGGGAAGGGTCATCAAATTCGTATCGCAGGTTACAGCAACAGTGGGGACCTCAGATACGTGAGGTGATATAGGGTGTGGGACGGGAACATATTGGCGGGTGACAGAAAGTGATAACAGTTGATAAGATACGATAAGCGGCTTCGGAAGGGAAGGGTCATCAAATTCGTAACGCAGGTTACAGCAACAGTGGGACCTCGGATCCGAGAGGTAGTGATAGTGATACGGGACGGGAATATTATTGGCGGGTACGGAAGTGATAGAGCTAAAAGTGACAAGGTAACATGGGAAAATCCGCTTCACCGCTCACAACAACAATGCGATCGATATGACTTGAGTAGATCTCAATGATTCCAACAGAACTCATTCCTCGCTGCTTATTAGTACGACATCATGTACGACCGCTAAGCTAGCTCTATTCCAAATGCATGGGGTTTGTTTACAGAGATGTTATGAACAGCATCAATTCAATCACGCTTACCACAATTATCTTCCATCAACAACCTTAGTGAGGGCCATTTAACGCGTTCCACTGCTGAATGCGGGAGTGCATTCCAAAGCAAGACGCTTTGAGGCGACAGAATGCTGTTGTGTGTGGAGCGTGCGCCAAGGTGAGCGGGATCAGCTCTAAAAATTCTTCAAGCGATTCCAGAGCACTCCAGGCACTGACTACTACCCGGCTTTTCTCTCATCTGTCCACTTGATCAACGCTCCTTACCACCAGTCCATACACCGTCATAGTGTTGAAAGAAGCAGGTATGATGCTATTGGTCAAAGTGTGACCACCTGTTCGGGTAAAGAGAGCCTGATACTAGGCGGCTAATGAAATGTGTGGAAGAAGGTAAGCGCGGCGGAGCCGCGCAGTATCCTAGGAGGCGCGCCGGAGTCAGCCGGCGAAGCCGGCTGGTAGTGATAATGAAGACGGGAATATTATTGGCGGGTGACGGATGTTATAGGAGCTGAAAGTGACAAGTTAACATGGGAAAATCCGCTACACCGCTCACAGCAGCAATGCGATCGATATGACTCAAGTATAACTATTCAATGATTCCAACACACCAATTCCTCCCCGCTTGCGGAATCATGTACGACCGCTAAGCTAGCTCTATTCCGAATGCATGGGGTTTGTTTACAGAGATGTTATGAACAGCAGCAATTGACTTAATCACTCTTACCAGAATTATCTTCCATCAACAACCTCACTAGGGAGGTCGTTCAGGACGTGGAGCGCTTTTTGAAAACGGTTTTTTGCATGATGTGGGGTTACGTGCATGGAGTACCAAACTGGTGTTCATTTTTCCTGAACGCCTCTGGGAATGCCAAAAATGGAGTGAAAAGAAGTCCATGGAAACCGACTGTGTTTTGAGCCTGAATGGGCTCTAAATCACTCGCAACTTCGGCCAGTTGCTGCCTATAGGGTCCTTATAAAGGTACTGGTATCGATGAGAAAAGTAGTCGCCAATGGGGTCCTACTTGTGGCACGTAGTCCCCAATTTGGAGCCAAGTCTTTCTCCCACTGGAGTCGCTATGTACATTCGTTTGAGGGACTTGCAGGGCCATTCTGACGCCAGTGGGAGAAAGACTTGGCTCCAAATTGGAGATAAATGGCACTAGAGCTGAAAGTAAATGCCATAGTCATGATCAGGGCATCGAATAACATAAGCTCAGCTTTCAGACAAGTTCTTGCTTAATGGTTTGTGAAATCGAAATCGCTGAATAGCACCGACTACGGGCTATAACTATTTAGGATGTGCCTATAAATGGCAGATATCCGAGTAAAATTCATTAACAGACGTATATGGAAGCGACAACAACGGAAAATAAAAAATGCAAAAACGTGCAAGCCGAGGGGAGTCGAACCATCATCCCCATCCCCACTGTCTGCTTGAGAATCCTCCACGCTATCCACTAGGCCATCCGATCGTTGGCCAACGCACCCTTCGATTCGCTTAAGCCCGTTCGAATTGGCCGTCGACTCTCAACTACGTGCCACAAGTAAGACCCCATTGACGACCACCTTTCTCATAGATACCAGTACAACCTTTATAAGGACATTATAGGCAGCAACTCGCCGAACTTGCAAGTGATTTAGAGCCATTCAGGCTCAAACAGTCGGTTTCCATGGACTTTTTTTTCACTCCATTTTTGGCATTCCCAGAGGCGTTCAGGAAAAATGAACACCAGTTTGGTACTCCATGCACGTGACCCCACATCATGCGAAAAACCGTTTTCAAAAAGCGCTCCACGTCCTGAACGACCTCCCTAGTCAGTGTGGGCCATTCAAAGCGTTCCACTGCTCAGTGCGGGAGTGCATTCCAAAGCAAGACGCTTTAAGAGGGAGGATGCATGAATCAATACGATGCTAGCGGCTGATCTAACAGACTGTTCTATTCCCGTCTATGTAGGTTATGAACGTACCAGTCGGATCGCTCGCTACCGCCGGCACTCCTCCTTATGCGGCGGGTGCTGCTGCTGCTTCTGCGTCTTGACAAAACGGTCGCTGCTTTTCTGTTCTTGGCTGATGCAGATCATTCCTCTGAACAGTGTGGTTGGTCAACGATCCGTAACTTAGCACGCAGCAAATCCGCGCCCACCCGGCGAAGCCGGGCCATGTCACAGAAGGAGGAGCGCCCGGCGACAGCTGGGCGATCCGACTGGTAACTCGTGATTGGGTCGTTTCTACGCTCTCGAAAAAGGTTCTTCTGTATACCCCTAGAAGCATCTTTGGACGCTGATATCAGATCTGAATTTCAAGTCTGCTAAGCGATTTTTTTTTAATTCAGAGAGTAGTTTGGCTAACCTTTCTTGCTACGGCTTAACCAACTGCGATGGGCGGGGTACGTCATCGCGTTGTGATCATTTCCCGCTAATTGCGACCCTCCCCCCAGAATTAGGGTCTTGATAAGACTCCCTGTCACGAGGGTACAAATGAAGAAGCGCAAAAGGGACGTAAGAAATTGACTATTAGTAAAGATCATGGGCCGATTGAAACATCATTCTACGCCAAGAAAGAGTGTAGACATCATTTCTCCCACCAGTAATGCGTATTCCTCGTGCATTTATGTGTAGGAAAATGCATGACATGAGCGTGTACACTCTATCGGTTACACACCTCATCGCGGATGACTGGCTCTGATACGCATTGCACATGATTCAGACAATGTCCCAACTGTCTATGCAACAGGCCTTCAAAGCTCTGTCGATTCATGCACGTACAGAAGAACCTTAATGATGTGTAGAGAAAAACGCAGCTTTCTTGTCCATCCTAGCAGCAAGGAAGACAAGGGAGATCGCTAGACCGCTGCATCACTTTTCTCGCGGCTGCTTCCATCAGAGCACTATCGATTGCGCCCCAGTCCTGCGGTATTCGGATATGCTCTTCTAGGAGGGGCTTGGATGTATGTACCTCACTCACCGATGAGAGGGTGATCAAATCCAAACTCGTCTGGTACATCAAAACGTCATCCAAAACTGATAATACGGTCAACACACCGAGAAACTCCCCACAGAACGACCACAGCACCACAAAGCCGTGCCTGTTCGTACAGAGATGCTTGATTGTCGGCAACGTAATCGGAGTGCTGATCTCGCTTCGAACACTTTTGCTGAGGAGTCGTCAGATCAAGTACGATGTTATCGCTATACAAGAGACGAAGGGCAGAACGGAAACCTTATTGTCGGTGCCAAGGTGGATGGCAAGAAGTCGGCGGAGTTGGATTCCTGGTAAACCAGGCAATGGTCCACCTAGTCGACTCTCATAGAATCGTAGTCCCCTTTGTGAGATGCAAAACTAGTACAACTGCATCCTTATGAGGAGGGCTATGATACCTAGAGAGGGCGTAGGAAATCAAGAAAGTGGGCGCTGCTTTAATTAACGCCGTCATTAATGAACTCCCAACATTCTGTTAGCTAATCAATGATCCCTTTAGCAAAGCAATGTTTTTCGTTAGCGAAGAAATGCCTCCGTTAGGAATTCTTCATGTCACTCCATGATTAAATTAACTCGGAATACAGTTGAGCGAAGCCTGTCCAAGAAAAAAAATCGGTCAAAAATTGACTCGATTCTGGGGCAGTAAAGGGTGAATAGTGCCGTTCTCTCGATTCCACAAGTGGTGTTCGGTAGCAATAAAGGCGCAACCTGCTCTTCATGCACGAAAATGTGCGACTTCCTTGTACTTGATCGATAGAACGCTATGGCTCCAAACAAACCACACGCATACTATGCTGCGGGCTTGTTAAAAAGTGAAGGCCTTAAGCAATAAAACTTTCAAACACCTCTGCTGGCGGGACCTCCACATTCCCGAGAGTGATTGGAGCTGCTCTCTGAAGGAGAATTTTATCTCTCCATTATCAGGTAACCATATAGGACCAGTATAGTCGTCGTCCACGGAGATATCTTCCCCGCAGTCAATCATGAGGTGGCTGGGGCACAGGGCGTGGCGCTAAATGGACCAGAGGCGCTCTACTACAATGTTCCTCTCCTTCGGTGTAGTGATAGTGCAATATCATAGGATCCGAATTCTTTCAATAAATGTGATAGCACAGAATCAGGCACAACATCTTCGCAGTTATCGGACCTACGATCACAAGAACTATTAGTTGATGAAGTCCGAGGGAATTATGCAGATATTAAATCCTGCGTTACCCAAACACGGTGTATTCACCGAAAATAGTAGAAAAAACTTCTAGTTCAGCGTATGAAGCTGATGAAGGTGTACATGGTCTCCTGTTCAACCGAGTTAGGTGATAGTGCAAATCCTCTCGAAAGTCATCCAGAGGGCTCAGTGAGGAGCAGAGAGGGACCCCTAATGGTCTGGTACGTACATAAAAACTGGTACTGGTACGTAAAACTAATTTCCAGCTTTCCAAGTGTTTAGCACACGGCAACGTTCAGACTTCGCGAAGGAAACGCTTCGATAGCGCATGAGCATCGATCGCGTTGAACGCGTGACCGAAGCGCTGCCGACGCGGAGTCTGAACGCTGCCTAAGTTTCAAGAAAGAGCTGAACTACGAAATGCATCCAAGGATTCGAGTCGTCGTTCCTCCGCTATAAGCCCGCTCATCTACCTTACTGCGCCATCGAGCCACGGCTGCAGCTGGGTCACGAGGGGTTTACGAGCGCAAAGCATGGGCAGGGGGCGCACCGCAATGGTTAAGCACAGTAGCAAAAAAGGTCCGTAACTTCTCTCCAGAATCGTTTAGCAGATTTGGAAGTCAGATCTGATATCAGCGTCCAAAGATGCTTCTAGGAGTATACATCTCATCCTGAATGGCCATGGCGAATTTCCTTCCCTCATTACAAAAAAGGAAAAAAGTACATTACCGGAGAAAATATCCCAAAGAAAAATAGCCGGGAAGTCAATGGGAAGCCGCCCGTAGGAGTAACCACGCCCAAAAGGGAATTTACAAGCTACCCTATACCTATGAACGCAGCGCGACGCGTTGCCCTCGTTCTTGTAACGATCTCTTGTTTTCTAGATAGCACTTTTATTTTCTCATCCAGTGTCTCCACTTTCTCATGTGTCTCTCTTCTTGGACGGCTCAGCTTACCCTGAGCCTTGTTTAGAGCCCATTTTCTCGACTCTGCTTTCCTGGTAAGTCACTAAGTACATTTCTCTGAATGATACTAGGGCACCAAAGCCGGATTGTATCGTGGAACGTGTCCAGAACACCAGGGAGTAGATGGCAAGAATGGCAAGACTGACCCCGCCCTTGAAATCTGCGTGGAAGACCCTTTCATGACAGGGGAAAATAAATGAATAATCACTCTGATGATAAGTTGAGAACAAAGACTTGCCTCTATGTGACTAACCTTTCAAGCATCTCCATACTGAATCATCCAAAAACAGCCAAGTCAAAAGGCTTAGACTAGCAAATATCGCGTGCACAGATTGATTTTCCAAGACTCCCGTGACGTTTTTCTACCTTATCTTTGGTGGCTCCTTCGCCGAACATTAAAGCTTTATAAGAGCATCTTGGATGTTATCAAGTGAGCAAGTCGCCACTATTTTGACGATAAGCTCCAGCAATGCTGCGACTCGTCCCTTATGCGCTCTTTCTACTCGGTTAGTTCTCACTGCATACGTCATTATCGTGAGATGTTTTATTTGAATACAAACTGTGAGAACTCAGATGCTTTTTCCTTCTTTGCAGGATTATATTAAGGCGAGGAGGTCATTAGCTGATGGGGAGGGTCCCGAGAGGATGTTTCTTTTCCGATTGCTGACTTTTCCGTTTAACACATATCCCCTTTTAAATGACGAAGGTTTCGCAAAATTCTTGATTGTTGTCCCCTCACGCTCTCCCCAGCCATCCCTCCCCCCCCCCCGACCGAAAAGATTCCAAAAAAATTGATAAGACGTGGGTAAGATGCGAGAGGGGGTAATACTAGTAGAAGAAGTAAGAGGGGGGGGGGCGTACTATTCAGAGGAAAATCTCCCCAACACCAAGACGTGCCTCTGAGTAACGATGTATGTAAAAATCGTCCACGAGAACGTCTCGTTGAGTGCAGGCTATGACCCATTGGTGCAGCGAGGAACCCTGTCATTGATACAACTTGCCTAACAAGCTCTTACACTGTAATTGAAATCACACCTCAGTTAACAAAAAGTCCATCGCTGCTGATCTTTGTCTTGAGAGTTCTTGACGTGTGGTTGTAATCATTCCAGTGGATTAGGGCGTAAGGCCGGCGTGTCTTCGCGACATGATCGTGCTGCTCAACACTATGACAAGGTTAAGCAACAGCTTGCGAAGGAGAAAAAGTAGTGAAACCGGTTTGAAATCGCCCGTGAGAATCCACGCTAACTAGCGATGACTGCAAGGCGAGGAAAGGGAAGTGGAACTAGGATAGGGTATAAATAGATGGTGCTACAGCCTATCTCTCTACAGCCTAACTCCCATCATTCGAAAATGATGTGAGTCAGATGTGAGCTCATGGATTTGGCAGTTCGAAAAGAATTGGCGCGTTGGTGGCGTGGGACGGAGCCATGGACTTTCTCGTCACAAGGGGCCACGTGTCTCCGGTATTCGAGTGCCGAAAGTAGTGATCCTCCCATGGTTGGGGCGGACTACTATGTCCAAGGAAGACCTGTGCATGATGATATCAAGGCTGTTTTTTAGCCGGGCACATGGGAAATATAATCTAATATGCAGAGAATTAGCGCAGTTCGATGACGGGGAGGGGTATTTTGCACATTCGTTGCTTCACTAGTTCCAGTTTGCAAGTCTCACTTAGTGAAACCTGTCAACCCTTGTGAAGCTGTATCAAGCTTGTCAAGCCATCAAGGTAAAACCTGTCAACTCGAAAGGATGTTCCATCGACACCTTCGATGGAGGTAGCAAAGCTCAATAAATGACCCCTCTCCCGTCGCCGAACTGCTCCTAAACATGAATAACCAGCGAATAGATGTGTTCATGAACTCTATATCCCGAAGGTGGGTTAGGCGTGACTGCGCACACACTTCACATGAAATTGTGCTTTCTTTATCCATTTAGGACGCGCATCATTCTGTCCTGAGCTGGACATAGATATGACTACATTGTCCACAGGCAATATCATGACAGAAGCACAGATGAATACGCAGCCACGCCCTGCCCATCTCCGATATATACGGGGTGTGTGTGAACCAGGGCATGTCCTCCCGCTGGGGAAAATTTGTGAGAAATACGACGCCACCCATCTTTATACTCTGATTCGAACGTCCTCCTACCCATCCCCCTACCACTCTTCCCATTCCCTAGATTTTCCCAACGTCCCACTTTCTGCTGCAATACTTCTCCCCAAACTTTTGCTATGGGGAGGTGGGGGACGTAAGACATGCTCTGGTCTGAACTCCCTATGGGCAGCTAATAAATTTATCCAAAAAGGTCGTTTTTTCAAATGATTTCTGCGATGAATTTTCATCAGCGAAGCATCAGTTTCCTAGCATTCAGTACTTCCAGGGGTTGCCTATATATGCAATGCTGCTTTATCGTGCACCTCAGCAGATGGATAGTGAGCACTCTTGTACCCGTGATGTTATTCTAGCCATCGATGCCACATCATACATGGGAACAAGGGAGAATATACGTTCGGTAGGTTCCTATGCCCAAACTTTTCAAGGAAAAATGCTGACTGTATCGGAATGACGCGAGAAAAATACGCGACACAACTGATAAGGCGGCGAACGTAGTAAAGCAGAAGTACGCCAAAAACAAGGCGCAAAAGTATCTGAAAAGAAAGGTAAGGCAGAAGCCACTTATAAGCTGTAAGGTCCAATTTTCGGCCACGGAGGGTACCATGGTATCACCGGGAGTATTTCGCGAGATGGGCTTGACATTTGTGGAACAAAAGTGAGCATTTCCAGCAATAAAATAAAGGAAGGAATATTAGGTCATGGGTCACCTAACTTAAGACATCCTAGGTGTGCACGGGACGCGAGCCACTACCGCTATCTAGCAATCCTGAGGCTGCGATGGAACGTTTGCGCTGTAAGGGTCCTACTAGCTGTAAGAGAGAATCCTATTTCATCTCCTACAGCTCCTTCCAGCACTTACGGAACGCCTATAGAACAGGCCTTCTACCTGCCAATGTCTATTGATGGGCAGAAGGATTGTGAAGCTCAGCCATGGGGTGTCACGAAACAGCTCTCGGAGTCTGATCTGTCCTGAATTTAAGTTGGTGATCACCTTCTGCTAAAAGGGCTTACCGCGGCGTCTCGCGACTAGTTTCACGTCATTATATCAATAGGGCTCCCAACTGCCTTTTTTAGCTATATCAGATGATCTCATTGTAGGAGTTCGACTTCATTGAAAATTGGATAATTCCACGGCTAGACGTGCGAAAAGGCTACGTCCAAGTTGGAATGACCACCTATGGTATGTGCCTTACTTTATTGGTTAAGAGAAGCTTTAGAGCCCCGCATCAAAAAGAAAAGGCATGAAGCCAAGCGTTCACATTTGCATGACCTTATTGATACGCACAACGCACAGGGGTTTCACTCAGAATCGTTAGAGCATTTGAAAGGTGCCAACGCCCTAATGCCATTCGCAAGTACAAATGAATATGTTGCTGGATGTGTCATGTTCACGCTCCACGTTTCTTGAGGCTTTCTGACCACGAATTACAAAGACTGGAGAAGAGTGAAGCAGCTCCAGCAGCAGCTTTCATAGCTCCCTCTTAATGCTCGAACTAGGTCTGTCCATGGCTAAGGTAGAAAGGTCCACAACTGGGGAAAGATACTACGCCACTCATGGGATCCCTAGCTCACTTTTGCCAATTGAAAAGCGAGGCCATGTAGCTGGAGGATTGTGATAGCTTTTCCTTATATCTCCCCCGCTGGCAAAGCACTCAACAGACACGCAGGATGCAGCACGACCAGTCACCGGCGTCACTTGCGGAGCTACCTATCTCACCCTCAGGAAATATTAAGCTCGCGGCTGAGCGGCAAGAAACTATTGTGACTTCAGTGCACTGGAAAAGCACTCGAATGCTGATAGTATGCCATTTTAAGATACCCTCGCATCTTATGAAATAGACCAGTCGGATCGCCCGGCTAACGCCGAGCTCTCCTCCTTCTTGGAAGCCCGGCTTCGCCGGGCTCATGCAACTGCTTTAGAGTCGTGACTAATCGCTGTCTTCTAATCAAATGAATGTAGAAACGCGCCATATGATCGCAGGGCACTTTCATAATGAAAAGTTCAAAATCTGGTCATGGATAATCGATTACTCTCCTCCCCATCTCATGACAGCCATGGATGCTTCGGTCTCCGCAGTCGCTGCGTGCTCCTGTTCAGGCGAGCGTCGGTCGCGCCAATATGGTACCCCTTCACCTCACCTATCCCCAAACTAACCTCAGCTATTCCCCGCTCAGCCACCCTACAGGTCACGCTCAGCTGCTACGCGAATAGCCCGTGCAATGGTTCTGAGTGCACTAAATGGTTGTGTTATGTTGTGGAGGGTGTTATGACTATCAAAACGCTACCACAATTTGATAATGCAACATTAATCGGTTCAGTTTCCGATTGCGGTCGATCCATTTTCTTCCCATCTTATCGCAACCGTAGACGCCTTACCGCCGCAGGCGCTATGTGCTCCTAATCGCGAAATCGCCGTTCTCATCTGGTATCCCCTCACCACATCATATCCCACTGACCCTATTTAACTGGCGCCCACTCCGCACGTGGTATGCAGCCGCCACGTGAGCAGCTGGTGCAACATAGGGACACTACGCCGCCACTGTTCTTACCACCGCCTTGCTCGTGCTCACGTCCAGCTCCCAAGCGAGCAGCTCCTGCAATAGCACAGAGTCTATCACAGTGGTTGGCTTAGATAGGGGAGCTATTCACAATCCAAACAGCTTCCTAGTTCGTACACGATGAGCTTGCAGTTTTGCTAGGGGTTCTTTCCTTCTGTCTTGCCGCCTGCTCCTATCCAAGCGTACGCTACGCATCCCCTTACTGTACCCAGTTTGCCCGATTCAATCCATATGCCTCCTTCCCCTGCATGGGCTCAGATCCGACTGAGTACGCGCAAGGGAGTGAGGATGGGAGAAGGGGGTCACTCGATACTAACTCCCACCTTCCTCACCTCACCCCATTCCGTACTCGCCACTCCACCCCCCCCCCCCACCTTGCCCCTTGCACGCGCTTACGTCCAACTGCCACGCGAGCAACCCGTGCAATGGCTCGGAGTGTAGTGGTTTTCTTATATAGTGGAGAGTGTTATCACAACCAAAACAACTTCTTAGTTCGTTACGGTAACATAGATTGGCTTGCAGTTTTGTTAGCGGTTGTTTCCTCATCCATTGGTGTGCGTTTCTACTGAAACGCGCGCTACGCACCCCTCACTGTACCCCCGACCCCTTCCCTCTGCCTCCCTCCAATACATGTGCTCAGCTCCGGCTGAGCACATGCAGGAGAAGGAGGCAGGGCGACCTGGCACCCCCACCCTGCCCCCGCACGAGCACACGTCCAGCTGCCACGGCAGCAGCTCGTGCAATGGCTCGGAGTGTACCGCAGGGCACAGCATTCGATGGGGATTTTGGTCGAGCTTTTACGACCCCCCCCCTTTTTTCAGGGGCTGGTACGACCCCCCCCATGCTCGTACGATGGCTGACATGGCTGACTGTGGTTGTGGTTTATACTCGGCGAAAAAGTTGTCGAGCGGGGGGGGTACATACTAGCTATAACACAGTAAATTCATAAAAATCCACCAAGTGAACCACATAATTCCTAGCCAGAAATACGACCCCCCCTCCCCACAAGGACCAAATTACGACCCCCCCCCCCCCTCCGAAACGTCCGCATCCGCAAGGAGAGAAAAATCAACTAGAAAAATAAATTTTTCCCAGTCCAAATACGACCCCCCCCTTTTGACGGCCAAATACGACCCCCCCATAGGGAATCCCATACCCCCAATGCTGGGCCACTGGCGTTGCTACGGAGTGGTCTGTCTTATATATTCTTTATCCAAATCAAACATTCGTATTGATAATGCCACCGATGGTCCCGGTTGGCTAGCGTCGTTTTTTCTTCTTTCACTAACGTGTTTAATCCCGTAAAGCATTTTGCGGACGGACAGACATACAAACCGACATACATACATACATACCTACATACCGACAAACCGACACACAAAGTTTCTGCTCTTACCAGGCCGGCTTTGCCGGCTGATGCCTGCACGTCTTCTTCTGACAATGAGATAAAGAATGGATTTGCTGAGCAGCCCCCGCCTCCGCCGCGCTTATCTATCCCCTCACCGGCTTTTCTTTTATACAGATAGTCAACAATCTTGATCAATATGTTCATGCGAGTAGCTCACTTATAGTGCACTACATGATTCTTTTACATAGTGAGGTTGTAAACAATCACACATTGCCCCAAAGTGATACCAAAACATGGATTTTATTCGCGACTCTGCTAGCGGTTGATCCTTCCTCTATTCATCTTATCGCTTTCATTACCACAGTGGTGATGAGTTTATACTAAACGCACTATACGCTTCCCCTCCGTATCTCCGCTCACACCTATTACCATCAACCCACATTATACCCTCCCCACTCTCACTTACCCCACTCCCCATCCCGGCCGCTGCACGTGCTCACGTCCACCTGCCACGCGAGCAGCTCGTGCAATGGTTTGGAGTGCACTACATGGTTCTCTTATATAGTGCAGGGTGTTATCACAATCAAAACATTGGATTGATACATCTGCACCAACTGGTTTCGCCACCGGCTAGCGGTCGTATACTCTCCTTCACTGACGTGTTTGAACCCGTGAAACATTTTGCGGACGGACAGACATACATACATACATACCGACAAACCGACACACAGAATTAGTGGTTTATAGAATGTAAGGATTTTGAAGGTTACTGGTTCAACTACCAATTTCTATACTTCAACTACAACCGAGAGCAGATTTGTGATAATTTGGAAAAGCTGTGGAATAATGTCGATATAGACTCAGCCAATAATGTGCCATTGTCCAGGTAATTTTTCAGTCGTAAACTGGGTATGCTCAGTGAATGTCTCCTGTGCACGGGAAATCTCCTCCCGCGCTCTGAATCGCAGGTCGCTACAGTTGCGAATATAATATGCCACAGCCATGCACGCGATGCCGCATGGTGCCTCCATACCAGGCTTCAAGAGCGTACCCCAGTGGGATGAGTGTGAGGGTGGTGTATGTGTGACCCTCTCCTCACCCCCAAGCTACCACCTTCCCACATGTCACAACTCTCACCCCAATTTTCTAGAAATCTCGCCATATTTTTCTAAGAAAACTGGCGTCAAGCGGTGGGGAAGGGGTTTATAGCGTGCATGGGACGAGAAAAATTAGTAACCGAGAATTTTCTTTCACTTCAACGTCAAGCACGCACTCTCAGATTGGATTTCTGAGCGCTTCGAAACAAAGCAGAATGTTGCATTTGGAAGCACAGCGCACAGTAATCGTTTGGGCGGAGACAGTCAACAACTACTCGACTGCTCCCTATAGTTTTGACAAACTTTTGCAAGGTCATTCAAATTCGACAGGAAAGGTGTAGAATCTGAACACCACTTTCAGGACTATACGAAACCTATTCAACAACTTTGGCTTCGACTACACATCACTGGTTCTGTTTACAGGGGACAGGTGAGTGCATTATAAACTTTTCAAACAGTGAAGTATTCCCCATCAGCCCAAAATGCTGCCTCAAAGGCTAACATCGCTAGAACAGGAATGGATATGTTCACTTGTTTTTTCAATTCATCTGGTAAAACAGACCAAAAAAGCAAAGCTTCGTCGTTAAAAATTTTAGTGCCAACATTGGGTTGCTAAATATGTTTCTTCTCACACCCAAGTGGTACGGCGGACACGCTGGCCAAAACGCTAACATCCGCCAAACAGGAAAGCCCACCTCTTGTCGTGTAGGAAGCAGAAAACAGCTATCGGATACGACTATCCTGATGGAACAATCCCGTCAGGGGAATCATATCCGATAGCTAATGAAGTGGGCAGCCGATACTGGGTTTGATTACAGAGGCTGCCGTGCTTTGAGAAAAAAATTTTCTTGCAGCTAAATTATACCGTTTTTTGTGGAAGGAAGCTGTAGAACGTTAGGAAGGCGGTAGTCAGCGCCCTTCGTGCCCCTGAGGAAAAGTTTCAGAAAGCAGGATCCCGACTTCGTCCTCTGCACGACGCGCTCTTCACGTCGCCACCAAACTCACTCTGCTTTGTCTCTTTGCCAACTTTTACAGGCTTCTTCACTCCACCAAACTCAATCTGTTGTCTCTTTGCCAACTTTTACAAGCTTCCTCCCAGTCTAACCGATATTTCACAAAAATTTTCCAGTTATCCGCAAAAAAGACATCCGTCGAGAGGGCGGCTCGGTGCGGTGTGAGGAAGGAGTATTAGTACCAGGCGGAACAGCGCTAAAAAACGCGAAAAGTCAAAGGCCAGACGACTTCCGTCCTTCTCCAACGGACGGATGCAAATCAGCGCCATCCCAGGGATATCCTCCTAACGTTGACAAGTTACACCCCTCCCCCTGTTGTGGTAGACCGCTCAATGTTTATAAGTTCACTGTCCTAAGTGATAATCTGAGCTGTTGTTTACATTCATTTGTGTTATGCAGTGATAGGTCATCTTGGGTCTATAAAAGACCTTCTGCGGTTGTGTGTGTCAATTGGTCGTCGTGTGCTCAAAAAAAGCATTCTCGCCCGAAGTCGTAACAACCCCCCCCCATCCCCCATGGGAATACTCCCAACGATGTGATTAGACCCCGTTAAACCATAAAGCAGGTCAACTAACGAGAAAGCACTCCAGCACTCCACGATGCTCCCTCTCCTCGCGCTCAGGTTTTCTCAATGCGTTGAGACTTGCCTGATAGGTAGATTAGGAGGGGGGGGGAACGTGCCACTGGTTAAGCTATCTTGTATAATGACGCACCATTTACTGGTGACCAACTAGCTGCGAGATGCTTAGACTCTATACCAGAAGCGTTGGAGGGACCGAGAAGCGGACATCTACTTGCATCATTAATGCGGCGGGATGAGGGATCGCTCGTAGTGTGAGCGCGGAGACTAAAGAAGCGCCCACGGAGAGAGCACATGAAGAATAATTCTCAGCTTTCTCACCTGAACCTTTTTTTCGACCAGCAGCTCAGCACAGGTACGTAACGCGCAGCCGCTACGCTCACAGCTATGCCCATTGGCATGCCCCCTCTAGGCAGCGCGTTATGACTGTAGCCTCATTTCAAAGCAAGTATAAGACAGCCTACGAGCGAGTCGCAGCTGCCTGCGGCAACCCACAACGGCTCAGTGTGTGGTCAAACGAGTGATGAGGTTTCTTCGGGACGATCTTCACTACATGAAATTCCTAGGGAACAAACCGACGTGGATGCTGCCGGAGCTCAAGTCGAGTACTACATCGATAATCGGATGGCGCTGAATTTCTCCGTGGTTGTCGTCAACTATGGGAACTGTTCATTCAACAGCTGGCCAAAATTGGTGATGTTCATTTGGAAGTTTCATATAGGCCCTCATCCAAAAGAAAAGAATTATATTTAGCACACAAATGTGTATGACGCCAGCACCATTGGAGAGGACCAGTTGTCGGACTACGTGGATGACTCCGTTTGTGGTAAGTTTCACTCTAACTATGCATGATTGGCCAAAAGAGGGGGAAAGCCGTTCACATGCGAGGCAAAAACAAGTTCAAGTGCTTAATTTGAAGGCATATGGAACGATAATTCCTGCTTGCTCTAAAATGGTAGCAGGGGTGGGAAAATGACGAAAAACGAAGTGAAATGGTTAAAGACCCGAGAAGAAAAGCTTCCATTCTTAGTGCCTGAAAGGAGCAATTTCGGACGAGTTTCCGATCGTCAACTTGCCAGTGACCGCTATGGTGCACGTGTGGACTCATACATGCATGCAGCACCGCGGCCGCTTCATATTAATCCCTTCGCTTCATACTTTGCTTAGCAAATGAAGCAATACGAGCATCAGGTACGGTCGTCCATTTGTGGGCGGGCGGGCGGTGGGCGTCGGGTCGGTATGCTGCAGCTTGATAGGGCCTTATACGGGTACCTTCCTCGGAGTAGACGCTATGCAGCGCATTCTCAGGGCGAATTCCGTGCTTTGAAGGCGAGGAACCCCCAAGACGTTTGGGATCAATAAACCTAGCAAGAAAGAGTTTGGCGCCCCTCAGCAGGTGCTGCGTGGCGTAAGGTTGATACCTCGTAGGAAGCAGTTCCGCGACCCTGGCGCTGCGTAGCGCCTTTTTCAGAGAAGGTACTCTGGTAAGGCCTTATCAAGCTGCAAACACAGACCCGGGCTCACCACCCGCCCACTCTTAAATGTCCGAGCGATGCTGATGCTCGTATCGCTTCATTTGCGAAGTACAATATGAAGCGAAGGGATTGATATGAAGCGGCTGCGGTGCTGCACGGATATATGAGTACACACATGCAGCCGTATCTACCGTAGCGGTGATTGGCACGATGCCAACGGGAAACTCGTCCTGAAACAGCTTTCTGAGTCGTGTAAAACGAAGACCTTTTTTTGCAGGTTTTTATCTGTTTTGCTTCGTTCTTTTACCATTTTTCCACTATGTAGCACCCCTTCTACCATTTTAGACCGAGTACCAAATATAGTGTTTTGTGTCTTTGAAGCCAAATACTTCAGTGTGTTTTCTGAATAATGGGACGGAATAGACAACACATCAGACCAAAGAGCTTCATAGACACGGCCAGCGAATGAAGAAATCCCTTCTTTCCTCGAGGAATCCCAATCTACAACCTCCGAAATAGCGTTACTTCGCGGCGTAGGACTGAGATTATGCAGTGATGAAGCAGTAATTTGCCACAGCGACTCCTCTCGCTGGAAAGATCCTAGCCCCACAGATGAAGGTCCCTGATGTTGGTGTCTGCTCGCTTGGATTCTTCTTTTTCCATGGTTCGTCTCTGGCCTCTCACTCGCGCTCCCAGTGTTTCTTCGCCTCTTGCCTTTTCACAGCTCGTCTAATTCCTAAAACTATGAGCAAGAAAGAACTTAATCTAAGCTTTTGTTTCGCCTGCATTTCCTCTCTGGAAAACATAGTACCACCTGAGGATACTTATTCAAACCCGGTGCAAGCCCCGCCCCACATAACCACGCCTCTTGCCGCGGACATTTGACACTTGCAGCGCACGCGACCTATAATTGCGAGTAGGTGTTCAGAAGCAAAAGGGCGCGCAGATGGAAGCCTGCTTGACGCGAAAAGGGAACATAATCGCAGGGTGTGAATTATTAGGTTGGAAGGAAAGTCTTGCGACACTTTGATCGAATTGTTTTAAGAAAAGATCAAAAGAGATTTTAAATGTTTTCAACCCTGATAAGTGGAGACTGTCCTTTGGGATTTCCGCGAATGGGTATGTCATGATTTTGTGGATTCAAAAGTTGAAAATCCCTCAGAGGTCGCGGCACTTTTCCTATCCCAAATTATGAGTTCCTGTGGCGGCTGTTCCGCCGTCGTCAAGGAAGCAAACAGACCTATAATTGCGAACGTTGTCTTGAGGAAGGATATCGCTTGCCATGTCAGAGAGTAGCGTTTGCATCAGCGCCTCATGAGTTGGACCAGTCTGACAAGTCATACCGAATGACCGTGACTGAGTTTTCTTTTCCTTGTACACACGAAAGAACTTTTGTGAGATCTTGTGGTTGGTAGCGAGTGTGGAGTCCTTGCGTACATCATGCATATGTCCCTCACAGGATCCCTCGAAGAGAAAAGTAGCATGTTTAGCTACCAGCACAGCTGCAAGGACCACAGTCCACCCTAATGAGCTTCAAAATATGGATGAAGTTACGCTTGAATACATACAGAAATACTCAGTTTTTCTCTACTACTCTCTCTGCTCTAAAGTTCATGGATCCCGATCAGGGAATGCGACCGTACCCAACTTATTTACCAGGGTTAGCAGCCTCTCATTACCACCTCCTTTGATCCCTACCGCATCCTTTAGAAAGCCAAAATTCCGAAAACCGATGTCTACTCGCGTAGCTGCCGTAGTTCCATGAGAATGGGATGAGAAGCTGTGCAAAAAATGGACACTAGCCCCACTCATCAACCATGGTTACCTTGTGGATTGGAGGTGTCTTTTAGTGAAGGAAAATCTGGTTCGAAAATTTGGTCAAAGAGTCGCAGGACTTTCCTTCCAACCTACTATCGTCAGTACGGCTGGAGGGAGGATTGTAGTAATTTGAACTATCGGATTAGTAGATGTGTAGTAGTGTACGGCAACCTGGGCGAAGGGGGGGGGTGGGTGATGCGGGCTAGAAACGGGAAAAACCGAGGAAGTGAGCCCCCCCCCCCTCCCACTCTCTAATGAGATTCTCCCGAAGATTCTGTAGTCTATTTAAAGCCGTATCAATCGCCACTTCCAAAGAGGATGTTTGATTCATTAAATAACAGTGTTTTACAGCACCGGTGTACCCGACAACCACTTCTACGCAAACATCCACCTCTACAACGGCTGCACCCAGTACCACTTCATCTGCAACACCTAGCACTACTTCTGACTGCGGCACTGGTGTAGATTGCATTACAACATCTACTGGATATAGCGGTCAGCAAATGTGGTTATACTCTGGAAAATTCTCGTTTCGTTGTTTAGCTTTTAGCAATTTGTGCCCCGTAGCTCTTCTCGGGGGCTGAATAGATTTTACGCCACAAACTATCGTTGCAGTTTCCACTGATCAGCCTACCTGGCCTCCAGCTACCATACCTAATCATGTGGTGACAAGTGGCGAACCCACAGCACGCCCTGCACCTACCGTGCCTAGTCTACCAGTGGCAAACATCAACAATACTGGGTGCAACTGCGTCCTGAAAACCGTCTGGTTGGATGTTTTTCTCCTCATGGAAGCTACTAACGCAATGACTCCTGGTGGAATCATTTCGGTAAGTGGATCAACGTTTTTCTCATCACATGACATAGAAAGTCAAGTGCTCAAAATAAGCCGCTGACAGAGAATGTTAAGGGGCCCTCACGCGTCACAGCGTCCTAAGATGTCCCTCTGAGAAAACTTCTAAATAAAGATAGTCCCGCGCTCGAACAACGTAGGCGTCCTTCCTTGTGCAAGTACGTGATCCCCTCTCTGAGATCATCCCGACTGCGCGCCCCTCTCTGAGATCATCCCGCTTCCCTGTCCCTAACGAAGGCGCCATGAGTTCAGAAGTGGCATTTCTGACGCCTTCCTAGTTGTTCCACCCACTAAAAGTTTTTTCATTTCTAGTTGCCCCACCCACCGGAACACAAGGACAACTTCTATCCCGAGTACAGTTTTGACCCAGTGTTTTTCGTTTTTCTCTCCTTGTTAGATAGTATTAGCATTGCATGAGTATTAGCATCCGATGCGCGAAGAAACGATTGTTGGCAGGATATCGCTCTAGCTGGTATGAAACGAGCACCTTCGGGAAATTCATCCAGGGAGCTGACAGGTCCTTAGGGTGATCTCCATGATTTTATTTTTGCCTTTTTTCTTTCCCGGAAAGATTGTTTCGTAAGTCTAGCAGCAAAACATATGAGCTCAGCTCTGAAAAGCAAGATTTTGGAGACCTCGGCCCTACCCTACACCCCACGTTGCTAGAAGAGTTCAGGCCCGTTCTTTTGCAGAAAAGGCTACCTACTTCTCCCATTTTCCACTTTTGGACTCGTACTTGTATTTGATATGTGCATTTCTTTGAAATGCACTGTATTAGTAGTTGTTCGCAGACGTGCCAGGAGACTTGGTTTAACGAGACGCTAACCCGTTTTCCGCTAGTTGCTTGAT